AGTAGTTTGGCAACCTAACTACTACACTAAGATTACCAGACCTTACTAAACAAATATTTATTAATAAAGAAGTTCAACAGATGCTAGATAATAATCTTATAACTAATTCAACAAATTCTTAGACTTCCTCTGTTGTACTTGTTGCAAAGAAAAATAGAAAGAAAAGATTTTGTGTTGACTATAGAAAACTAACACAATCATTAAAAAGGATTCTTATCTTCTTCTATGAATAGATAAAATGTTAAACTCACTCACTGAAGCTACTTATTTCTTAACTCTTGACCTTATGAGTAGATATTGACAAGTAATAATAAACTCTGCAGACAAAGAGAAAAAAGCTTTTATAACAAGATATGGTATTTATAAATTCAATATAATACTATTTGAAATTTGTAATACTCTTGCAACCTTTTAACATCTCATAAATCAGATCTATAAGGATATAGCTTATAAATATGTAGTTGTTTACTTAGATAATACTAATATCTTCTTTCAAAGTTTTAGTAATTATATTAAACATCTACAAAAAGTTTTTACAAGAATTAGAAAAGCTAAATTAAAGCTTAATATAGAGAAATATAATTTTTGGTTGACAAAATTACTTTTCTTAGAACATATTATTAAAGCTAAAAGAATCTCTTCAGACCTAGAAAAGATTATTGCTATATAAAATATTCAGCCTCCTAAAAATATTATACAGATTTGATCAATCTTAGGACTCACAAGATACTATTAAAGATTTATTAAAAGTTTTTCAACAATAGCTTGACCTCTGAATCAATTCTTATATAAGAATACTCCTTATAAATAGGATGATAATTGTCAGAAAGTATTTGAAGAATTAAAGCATAGATTAGTAACAGTTTCTATATTAATCTATTCTAATTATAAAGAAGAATTTATTCTTACTACTGATACCTTCTACAATAGATAGAGAGCTACTTTTAGCCAAATCTCAGATAATAGAAAAGAACATCCAGTTGCCTATATAAGCAAAAGTTTAAAGAAAGAAGAAGTTAACTATAGTACCATTTTACTTGAATATGTCACTATAGTATGAGTCATTGACTATTTTTACAAATACTTAGAAACTTATCATTTTACTCTAATTACTAACTATTCAGCTCTACAATAGTTAAAATCCTCTTTATCTAAAAGAAGATTAGGATGATAGATAATGAAACTTCAACCTTATAACTTTACTATAATATATAAATCTAGATGAAAACATTCTAATATTAATAGTTTTTCAAGATTATCAAACCAGATACACTCTACTTCTATTTATAAAACCTGAATTTAGACTAATACCAAAATTTAGTTAAATATTTAAAAACAGATAAACTTCTTTTTGACTTAATGGACTTTGAAAAATAAACACTTCTTAAACAATCTAGATATTATAAACTTGAAAATAAGTTACTATACAAAAAGAATAGAAAAGATTCAGACAAACTTATCTAAGTAATAAAATAGACTGAAGTAAATTAGTTTTCTATACAATGTATAGATACTCTACAGGTAGATATTTAGGAACAGATGCAATGTATTATAAAATATCTGAAAGATATTATTAGGATCTGATATATAAAGATATACAAAATTATGTTCGATCATGTGAAACATATCTGAAAAAAGAAAAAAGAAAAAAAAAAGAATCTCTCTATTCTATTCAAGTTGGATATGCCTTTGAACATATAGAAATTGACTTAGTAGGACCTCTCCTAATAACAAAACAAAACAACTGCTATATTATAGTTGCTACTAACTATTTAACTAGATGGCCAGAAGCAAAAGCAATACCAGATGCAAGTGCTGAAACCTTAGCAAAATTTATATTTGAAGAAATAATTTGTAGACATAGAGTATCTAAAATAATATTCTCTAATAATAGAAAAAATTTTATAAGCAAAATAATAAGAATATTATATGAAAAGTTCTTAATTAAACATATATTCTCTTCTCTCTATTATTCTCAAACTAATGGAATAGTTGAGCAATTAAATAGAACACTTTGCAGTTCTCTTGCAAAAGTAAAAGAAAAAAACAAAAATTAGAATATATATATACCAGCTATAGTATTTGTATATAGGACCAAAAGATATACAACTACTAGATATACTTCTTTTTAACTAGTATATAGCTGATAAGCTATACTTCTAATTGAAACAGTTATACTAATTGAACTAAAAAAAACAGATGAAGAAATAAATTTAGAAGATAGTATTCTACATATAGTATTTGAATTAATAAATGAATTATCTTATAAATATAATGAAGCTTGAAAAAATATAGAAAAATCTCAACAGAAACAGAAAGTTAGATTCAACTCAAAGATTCATACTAATAAATTTGAAATTAGTAACAAAGTATAGATCTAAAGGAAAGACCTTAAAAACTTTTACTTTGCGAAATTCGAAGAAAAATGAATAGGACTTTTTATTATTTAATCAAAATTAAATAATAGAGCTTACAAACTTAAAACCAAAAAAGAAAAAACATTATTGAAATATTATAATAGTGACAGACTTGCAAAATATTATGAAAAACAGAACTAGCAACCTATAATAGTAATAGAAAATTAAAGGATTTTTGAAGAAAATTCTTGAAATACTGCAAAACCTATTTTAGAATCAGATTTATTTCATATAATATTGAAAATTTTCTTTTATATCATATCAAAACTTATAAAGAGACACCTTCTTCTTTTATTTCTCTTAAATTTAGAAAAACCTTAAAATTCTCCTCTCTTTAAAAATTATTTCTTTTGACAAAATTCTTAAAATAGACTCTACAATTACTTAACAAATGCAATCTGAAACCTTGAATACATTAAATAATTTTTTTAACTAATAGAATGAAGATTCGATCTCTTTAACCTCTTCTTTATTAATTACAGAAATTCAATTCTCTCTAATTAATAGAAAAATATTGAAAACTTTATCTTCAGATGAAAATATTTAGAATAACAACTTAGAAATACTACTCTTAATAGAACTATACTCCTTGAAACAACTCCTCACTGAAATCAATTTTAACTTATTCTACTTCAATGAAGAAACTACTTTTTCTATAGAAAATATTACTTCTTCAAACAGTTGCAATTTAGAAACAGGACAAGAAAGCTCTTCTCTTGCAACTCTAATCTCTCCTCAAGAAGATATTTGAATAAAAATTCAAAATAATTTTACAACAAATTATGATGAATTTCTGATTAAAATCAGCTCTTTCTCTTCATCTCTCTTTGAGAACTAACTCAATAAAATAATTTCAAAACTTCAAAATAGAACTTGAACAAAGAATTAAGAAAACAGAATCAGAACTCTTGAAGCATGCTATTATTTGAAAATATTAAGAAAGATCTATAGTAATAATTTCTTGAAGCTTAAAGAAATTAACTAGACTCTCCAAAACAAAATAAGCTAACAAAAAGCTAATATAATTCTAATAAGAGCTGAACGAATCTCTAAACTCCTCACTCTCTGTAGAAAAGAAAAGTTATAATCTACTAAGTATATTACTTTAAGCAGTTTATATTACTTAATAAATAACAACTTTATAGCTCTCTTTGAAATATTAAAGAACTTATAGAGTTTGTTTTTAAATAGGATGGAAATGTTATCAAATAAGTTTTAATACTTTTATCTTTATTATATTTATTAATTAGTTATTCTTTATTTGTATTTTATAAATTATCTTATAAGTTAGTGATATCTTTAGCTAATATTATTAGAATCAAAATAGTCTTGTAATTATAACAAGCTATAATTTGTAGGAATTAGATTAATAGTTATAGAGTTATTAGCATTTAGAAATCTCTATTAACGTTTAATTACGTTTAACTACACTTGAAGATGTTTGATGATGTTTAACTAAATTTGAAGATATTTGATGACATTTGATGATATTTGAAGATGTTTAACTATATTTGAAGATATTTAACTATGTTTAAGGATGTTTAGAAAAAAGATATAAAAATCCTGCCTTTTCTTCTTTCTGTTAAAATTAGATTTGTCCTCTATAATCTCTTTAATATTAGAATTCTCTTAATACAGACACTAATAGATAGTCTTGTATTATTGATATTATATCATAAATAAAGAATACTTTTTGCTTTAATATAATCTTTCAAATGAATTATCTTTGCAAAGTAATATTCTGCTTTGATACTGTTGAGAGTTTCTCTTCTATATCTTATATTACTTGTGATATACTAAGAAAGCTATATCATTTGTAATACTATTTAAGTCTATATCTTTTTTATATCTTAAGACTAGATACTAACTTTTCTTTACTTAGTTTTAACTAGGTAGAAAGGAATCTAAAATCTTGATATATAGCTAAGAGTTATCTTTGTTAACTGAATTTTAAAAATCTGTATATATAGATTAAGGTTTTTACAAAAAAATAATTCTTGTAACAGATCAAACTTAAGCATTCTTGAGGTAGCTAAGTTAGTTTAGAATAGTTTAAAGAGAACAAATTAGTATAGTTATATATTAGATTGTTTTGTAACTTTTTTTTTAGCCTTTTCTTAATAAAATGATGAGCAAGATCACTCAAAATATAAATAATAATAATAATAATAATCAACATATATATAGTAATTAGATTACAATTTGATACATATATACAAAAATATATAAGTAATCAGATTACAATCAGATACAAATTTATAAATAATCAGATTACAATCAGATACATAGACGATTCAAAAGCAATTAATTATCAGAATTAAAATTTCTGATTAGAAAATTATTTTTATTCTCAATAATCATGCTATATCACATAAATAATTGGTTCAAATTTTATTTAACCTAATCACTCACGTTAAATAATCACGAATGAAGATTTTCGCCATATGTGTTGGAAATCTAATGTAATATTTAAACATTATGTTCTCGTTCTCATTTGAGACCATAATTTTTTAAATTTTAAAATAAACAATATAAAAAATTCGTGTAACAGCGTTTTTCAATAGAAATAAGCAACCAATAAAAATGAACTTCCCTCATGCTATTCGCGCCTTAATATCAATGGCCCATAAACACACTGAAGATTTTCCAAAGATTTTAGACGATTTAATATCAGAATTGGATATAATTGAAAAAAGTGGTATCGAGATCTTTAGTAAAATGTTTGTTTTCATATAATTTTAAAAAGTCAAGATGATATTTTTTATGACTTCAACTAATAAACATAATTAAAACAATAGAGAAAATTCATTCTCATATCCATGCCAAATTTCTTCAATAGCAGGTAATTAACAATTATCATTTTACAAGTTCTTGCGTCTATTATATGTTTTATCTTCTTATAATTAAACCAAACATCAAATAACAGCCGAACTGAGTACTCTCCTCACAGCAATTCAACATTTCGAAAGTCGTGCAAGATCTAATGGAGTAACGAGTCTTTGTACAACTTCTGATCAGGCTGGTACAACTTCTACAACAAATACACCTATGACCAAACAAAAGTTAACTAATATGATTGATGAAGTAAAGTTAGCAGCGGAAGAATTGTCTAAGGAATCAAAACGTATTGCTGATAATGCTAGAGCTGAATTATCAGGTTAATTTTTATAAAGAAAAATTCGTCAAAGCTTGAGAAAGTTCAATTTTTAACGTGCTGTTGAACAATGTATTATATAAAATTTGAACGCATTAAATAGTTTATATTAAAAAACGACTATTTGTAAACATTCAAAAAAAAAAAAAAAAATTAAATAAATTAGTTTGGAATTGTACTATGAAATAAAAGTAGCTTCGCTGAACATTTGCCCTTTGTGAACAACCTCTTCATTTTCACCAACTTTAATATAAGCTGTAGCTTCGTTAAACCATTGATATACATATGGTTTTGCGACGAATGCTTATAAAATAAAGAAATAAACGTTAATTCCCATAATGTGTAATCATGAAATAAAATTTCTTCTCTTTATCTCACCTTGTACAAGTTTTTTCAAAAAATAAGGGATCTCATTTAACACATCAATCTTTTCCATCAGAATTTTTGGCTGAATTTCTATTCTTGCTGTAAAGTTTTCTTCATTATCTAAAGTCCTTCCTTCCCATGTATAATGAATTTTATCAGGGATATTATAACCGGTATCTTTATCTAATGTTGTATGTAAGAAGTGTGCTTTATTGTTCACCGATACACCTATCAATTTATTGTGTAAAATTAATCCTCCTTGATTAACCTTTATACTTCCATAATGAGGTGTAGTTTCAAATTCACACATAGCTAAAGAAGCGATATCAGAATGAAAACTAACAAAATTCCAACGAGAGGCGATTAAGTGTGGTCTCATTCCCTGAATCGCGTGAACAAATAACCCAACTCCTGAAATATCGAAAGCTTTGCCATCGACAACAATGTTGCCTTTGACATTGCCTTTTGGCCAAAATTTATGTTCAACAAACCCTGTTGACTTGTCTTGACCGAAATAAGTCTTGCCTCCACCAATTTTAAATCCACGATCCACTCGTTCGAATTCGAAAGAGACAATTAGCTCTCGTCCGTGTGTAAGAGTAACTGTATATTTATTACATTCAGGATTGAGAGTGATGGACATATTATCTGCTTGAGCTGAACGTCGATCTGGTGATAATTTAAAATTGGACATATTGACTGATTTAAAAGTATTAATTCCCGCCCCAAAGAAACGTGCGGTAAATTGAATTGTTGGCCATAAGCTATAAGCAACCGGTTTATTTATTTCGAATTATTGATGATTTAAACAATGTAATCAGCGATTCATATATTCACGTACCCAATGTTAGAGTGAATCATTTGGACAAATGAAAAATGACCTTCATTGGTTACCAAATAAAACGTCTGAGTTTCGGTGGAAGCTCCAGACGCTAAAGTCCATTCGAGATCTTCGGGAGAAACATCTGAATAAAGACTATCTTTTGCCAACTCACTAGCAATATGAAGGTTTTTCGACATTCCAATGACTAGAATTATATAACTTGAGTATTAATTAATTAATTAATTAATTAAAATATTAATTTTAATGAATTTTAAAAAGATATTATACCAAATTCAAAAACAAAAAACAGGTAATTACGATAATGGCTTCTTAACAAATAACTACGTAGAGACCAACTATATGGTAAGTAACATGAAATCATACAATTAATGTTTGTCTAACCAATCAAATTTAATATAATGTGGATCATGAAAATTACCGTTACCCGTTACCAGTTTCTACAAAAAATTTGCATTTACTATAATAATACAGTAATATAACGTATACAGGTTAGAATCTGGCATAGAAGACGCCTTTATAATTAAAATAGTAGTGCTTTTTTAACTTATCGTTATAGCATACCAATACCACTTATTTTTAACAGAGCGTAGGATTGATTTTACGATCACGTGTAAGGCTGCAGACATTAGAACATCAACTAACAAAAGGCAGTGACGTATTGACGTCACTACCAGAATTTTATATGACG